CCAGTTCTAGGCCTGATTTTTCAAAGGTTACGAAACTAACTTCATACAGTTATTTGTTTTTAATGAAGAAACGTAAAACCAAGCTACAACAAAGTAATTTTCCTCTGGCTTTCGGACTTCTCTGTTATTTAGTAACATTAAAAAATACTAACAATTGCATTGATTGCATTAGAATTGGAAGAAGTTTGGAGTTCTGTTTCCCAAGATGAACACACCGAGTGCCTTCCCAGTTGGAGTGTACCTGTTGATAGTGAATTAATCCGCCGTGGTGATGGACTTGACAATAACTTGTGGCATGTATAAATTAAAAAATATTGATTCTGCAGTCAAAGTAGAGACAACAGACTTAAGCAGTGATGTCCTCTGGAATTGGATGTAGTTGGAATGGAATCTACTTATTTACTGTTAATTTGCATTGGTGCAAAAATATTAAATGTACTAATCAACTCTCTTCTCGGTGCCTTCTTCTGCCACAAGTATAAAGGAAAGCTTTTTTTTGGGAACGTGACATGAAAATTAATTTCTGTTCTGTAGAACAATCTCTCCTTTGGTTGCTTACTCATATTGTTACGTTAGACCAACCTTGGGACAACCTATTGAGCTTAACTAAAGAGTTTAAATTGTATTGAGAGTGAGTGGATCTATTTATTCTTCATCAAAGTTATTTATAAAAGATGCATATGACTGTCTAATTTACAGTAAATTCAAGCATCATGGGAATAAAGAGTTTACAAATAGGATGTAGTTAGAGCTGGGAGAGTGGGTTTTTCTTTCAATCATCAAGTTACTGGAATAATTAAAAGCAAAAATACAAGAGAAAAATGTGAGTTCACATTTTAGAGAATTTAGACTACTGAGCCAGAATTCCAACAAAAAACTCTGTGGGAAAAGTTTAACTCTGGGTATGTGCCTGACAGGAAGCTAGCGAGGAGAAGGTGTTGGGGGGGGAAACCCAAACCAACCCCATCCAGGAGATGCTTCTGGTCAATGCTGATCAGTTCTCATCTCTTCTGTTTGTTTGTGGTGTGGTTTGGTTTGGTTTTGTTCCTGCAAGAAGGGGTTGGTAGCACTTTGGCACTCAGGATCAGTGTACCAGAACTGCTGTTTCTCTGATGGTCAAAAGGCTTTCTATGGTAATTGTTTCAACAAATTAGTGTCTTGCTGGAATGCAAATCTAGGTCCTATATGTTTTCTTTTGTGAATATCCGTGCTCTTCTATTTTGAAGAGACTAACAGGTCTATTTTTTTTCTCAGATTTTCAAAAGCAACCTTTTGACCTCTTCTTTCTTGCGTTTCTTCATCATTGTGGACATCAGTGTTATTTAGCGGCATCCAAAAAAAAATCACAGTGGTCTGTTTGTCTCTGAAACAACAATTGTACTCTCCTGTTCTGTTCCAACTATAGAATAGTCCTAATCCCTGAATGGAGAGTTAGATGTTACCATAATGTGAGTGATATGATAATTAGTAAGGATTCATCAGTCTTAGTTATGCATAAATGCATGTTTACAGGCTAATGTTAACACTCTATAGGCTTCTTTGAGAAATACCTTTATGGATTCCTGCAACTCAGTTAGCCACAGATAGAGAACCTGTTGGTTCTGAAAAGTTGCTGCTGTTCTGGTAGTGTATCTGTGAGAAACACAAGTAACGCTAAATGCTGGCTCAGGAGGAGAATAAGTGAGCCACTGAGTAAGAGAGCGCAGCTTTAAAAGGTGTGGAAAGAATAGAGGAAGATGGACCCTTTTGTTAACTAAAATGATATATATATATTTTTTTTTTTTTTTAGGGAGCTGTGCTCTTCAGTAAAGGTGTTGTTTACATACGTTCTGTAAACACAGAGTAATGCCATTGTGAAGCCAACGGTGCACGCAGTTCCTTAACAGACAAGCATATGCTTAAGTGCTTGCTCAGCTAGAGCCAGCCTGATAAAACCGAGGTTATGCTGAAGGATCTGCGGTGTTTACCTGGCACTAGCACAAGTGTTTTCCAACACCTGGAACTCTCACTGAGGTGTGCAGCATTGAAGAGTGGTGGCAGCCTGAGTTTTCCTTAAGGCTTCGAAATGTGCAAAATACATAGCCACTCCTAGATAAGCATGTTTTCAACATGCTGCTTGGTCTGCATATTGTATTAAAAACCAAAACCCGTTAAACTCAAATCCCCCAAATCCCTCTGGAGTGATTGGTAATTGAGGAAAATGTCTTGAAGATGAAGAATGGGATGCAAGTGTTCTCACTGGGAGCAGTACAGTGAATGAAAACATTTTAGTAGAAGCCTTGAATTCCCAATACTGCTTCATATCTCTGTAGCTCTTTTATTACATATCTCTCTATATCCATCTCCTTCTTACCGTATATGCAGTAAGGTAGGAGGGAGAGTTATGGGGGTGACTGAAGGGTGGCTCAGGTCTGATGGAGGGAGTGTAAAGCAGGTGACACAGGCATTCACTGCTGCATGACTCAGGAGATGCCCCACACCGCCCTGCATGCTTTGAGGGACTGTGGTTCTTTTCTCCTTCCTGTTCTGTAAGGAAGTCTATGCTTAAATTAATTTTTTTTTTTTGTGGGTTTTTTCCCCCATGTTTTACATCTTTCTCTTACCTGGACGAACACCAGAAAGACATGCTTACCACAAGTTAGTGTTGTGTAATTTTTGTGGTGTTATTGGCCAGGTGCTTTTTTTTATTTTAATTATTTTTGTGGTATGAGACCACCTTCCAAATAATAATGAAATTACCGTCCACATGGGGTGGTGAAGTTTTTTGCATCCCCTGCCTGCAATTAAAGACACTGAGTCAGCAGAAGATAACCCAAGGTCACCCAAGAGATAGTTGGCAAACCTGTGGTCTAGACTTTGAGATTGCTTGTTCTGTCTGTGACACTTATTGCAACTGCTGTTGTTTCTTAGAGCTAGTCAGGTTGGAAAGGCTGAGGGAAAGGAGGAAAGCATTGTGATTTCCTAGTAGTTATCTTGCATGTGCGACTGCCATTGAAAGTTAAAGCTAGAATGGGTATTTCCTTGGTTCGTATATTCTGTCTTCAGTTTTGTAACCTCTTTTTTGAAATGCAGATATTCTTTCTTTTTGTGATGCAAGTGCATAGGTCTACACAGGTCAAAACACTTTGTGAGGATACTGTGCTTCATATTGGTCTGCTACCCATTAGTTTTTGTGTCATTCTGATGTTGCTTGCTATGCTTTTATTGGCTCTTTCTTCAGATTAGTCTTAAAAGCTATATGAGTGTTTGTGGAAGGTACATATAAAAATATCTCTGAAAAGTAGCTTTATTGTAGAATTGCTAGGTGTTTAGAACAGGTTCTGCAACGTTAACCATAAGGTTTTCCAACTTTGAAAGGCTTTACTAATGTAATATACTCCTAATAACCTACCTGTGCAGAAAGCTTTATTATCCTTTATTTGGGGAGGGAGTTGAGGGAGGATGATGGGAGAGTGTCATAAAAACAGTGTTTCAGACTACCAATGAGAAACATATCTTACAAAAAAAGATTTGAGAGTAAGTTACTGTTTTCTGTTTCTTGTCAGGTGCTAGTAATGTAAAGCCATTGGATGGTGTGAAAATTCTTGATCTAACAAGGTTTGTGTTTTGTCTGTAATTTGGAACAGTCTGTCTAGATGCAAATATTCTGATAGGAAAAACTAAGAAAACAACCTCTTTAATATTACAGGGTGCTTGCAGGGCCCTTTGCCACAATGAATTTAGGAGATCTAGGGGCTGAAGTTATCAAAGTGGAAAGACCAGGTAAGATTTTTACATATCTATTTTAGATATAATAAGAATGTGGGGTAGTTTAACAAATAGTTGTTTATGTATTTTAAATAATACATGACTGAGAATGCAAGATTGAAAACTTTTGAAAATATTTAGAAAGACAATAGTATGTTTATTTGGTGGTGGTGTGTTTTTGGTGTGTATGGTATTGTGCTAAGAAATAATTTTGTAGCTATTTGTATATTTTTTTGAGCCAGCAGTTTTCAAGTTCTGGCAACATTTTTACATCCTTGTACTATTTCTGGCATGGTAGAGAACTAGTTATTAGTAGGTTTGCTTATACATGTATGATCTGTTTGCTTTAAGCTCAACACTGTGCTCTATGTATGTGTGTTTTGATCAGAAGTAGTCTATGTCTATATTTAGGAAAAAGTGTGAGAAGGTTGAAGCTGTACAGTAAGGTACCTTTTCCAGATATTAATGTACAAAACAGTACTGTGTTATCACTTACTAAAGTGCCTTATTCCATCACTCAAAACTAAATTGATTTTGTTTGAATTGTTTGGACTTTGCTTGGATTTTAAATTGGGCTTGTGAATGCTTAGGTGTATGGTGGTTTTTTGTAATGTGGTGAGAGGGTTAAAACAGGGTTTTAAGTGTAGTGTTTGACATACAAAATTTGACAAACATACAAATCCTTCCAGCAATAAGAATTATGGAAAAGGCGTTTTTCCCATTTGGGAATTCAGAATCTTCAGCTGAGTTCCCTCTGAGCTAAAACATCTTAGATAATTTTAAACAGGAATACATCTTACTACTCAGGATAGAATACTGATAAAATGACAGGCACTTTAATTTTGGAAACAGAAACTCCACCTTCTATTTTCATTTTTATTATTACAAGGAAGAAAGGTAATATCAGCATTTAAAATATGTATGTTGTTTGTTAGCACTGCTTTTGTGTAATACTATACAGATCTAGTCAGGTTGGCAAGCATTTTGACTGGTAAAGTATAAGGTGACTTAGCATACTAAATCAACTTTCTCCTGAGAATAATGTTAATATTCCAGTACAGTTTCAGGTTGTTAATTAAAAATTACCTTGTCAGAGAAATCTTTCTTTGGAATTGTGCAAAATGAACAAAAGTTATTTTCTGCATGAGGTAGTTGTATCTTTACAGTCCAGGATCTGATATTCCTGTATAGGTGGAGATGAGAGTTCTTTGGAAAAGGGAGATTTCTGAATTTGCATGAAAATCTTCATGCTAGTGCTGAAAGTGTCTGAGGTTAACGAGCTTCGAGTGTGTGTTTTCGATGCAGAATCTTGTGTAGCTCCTTCTGAGTCTGATTTGACTCTGGGTAATTAGCTTCATAAATAGATTTTTGTGTGTGTGTATTTTAGCTTAATGCAATGGTTTTCTTTTTCCACTCAGCATATGCCTTTATTCAAAGCGTTGTTGAGGATTGGGTAATGGTAAAAAATGCTTCATTCTTACGGAATAGCTACACTTTTTAGTTCGTAAGACCATACAAGAAGAATAACAAATTGCATGGCATTAGGTTCTTTTTTAGAAATACTCCCTGTATTTGGCTTTCAGTTTTATGCATCATTACGCATTTGAGGCATGTAATTATGCCATAGCAGCTGCACATTATGTCATGTATTTTTTCCTTCATTAAGTTTCCATGTTTTAAGTTTCTCTTTTTTGGTATTATTAGTTTTGAAAAGAGCTGGTGAAGGTAATTACGCACTCGAGATAGCAAAACATATAATATTATATTCCCTGTATTTTAAATGGGAAATATTGAATGTTTGAACACTTAACTTTTGTTAGACGTTCAATGTTTTGTTTTGTCACATCAACCTATGGGTTATCTTTAATCACTCACCACTGTTTCAAACATTTTCACTTTTGTGACAGGGCAGAAGCTGCAGCAATTTTGTTCTATCAGATGAGACTGACAGTGGTATTATTCCAAGTATCTAGGTAGTAGGAATGGAGCAATGTCAGCGATTAAGTATGAAGTAACCGTTTTGGAGATTTGCATTCCAGCTCTTAGAATTTTGTTTTGTGATTGAAGGAGAAGGGCAGCCTGAGAATGCTGAATTTCAAAGATTTTAGAATGTGAGTAATCGGCTCTTTCTGTGTGTGGATGTCTACTTCACAGGAGTATTAATCCATAAAGGATAGTAGCCACACTAGTGTCCTACATGGAAAGTATTACTGAAATGTTTTGTTTTGAATGGCTTGAAGTGGTAACATACAGAAGAGAGATTTCTTCCCCCCCGCCCCGTCCCAAGCTTCCCGCTTGAACCAAAATAGTTCTTGGAGATACTGAACAGTACAAATGTTGATGAGTAATTTATATGTTTGTGTAACTTCTACCACAGTTGATCTTAAATGGCTGTAGACTTTGTGTTACCATAGTATAGAGCATAATGATGACAGTGGCTATATTGCATAAGACCAAAGGTCCTTCAGCTTGTTTCTGTATCTATGCTAGTATCAGAAGAGTCTTCTGCGTTGCCTCACTAAGAAAAGTTTTCACTCACATGAAGTTAACAAGTAGATAAAGTTTAGACATTGAAATAGATATAGGAATGTGCATGCTTGCTAGCACTCGCGATGACGATTATATCTGAATTTAAATTTAGCTTTAATTCTAATTAAAATAGATTACCAGTCTTAGTTTTAATTCTAATTAAAATAGATTGCCAGGCTTCGTGACATTTAAGAAAGGTTTAGGATTGGAAATTAAGCATCAATCATACAGTGACATCAGTGTCTGCAGCAGCTTTAATGCCATCTTGCCTTTCTTTAAGGCAGGAACATTTCTGGAAGGGACGGAGGTGGGGGATTGCACCAGCTATAGCAAGTCTTTCTTTTTGTTGGTGTTCCTGCAGCATGCAGCTTAACAAGTAATTGCTGATCAGTGGTATCTTGGCGTTGTGTCCGGAGTGTTTCAGGAATAGCTTATTGACCATGTGCACTGTGGGACTTGGTGCGGGGCAAGAGCTTCTACTAAATTCTTCCGGGTTGCCTAAAAGAATGGCATTGTAGCTCTGCTTTAAGTTAAAAAACAAAACAAAAGATGTCCCCCCTCCCCCCCCCAAATCCCCCATAACCCAACCCACAAAAAAAACCAACCACAAAACC